ATTCTGGGCCAGCTTTAGCTCTGAGGCCTGGCTGCTGAAAGCAGGTTTCTGGCCTTTGTTTACCTTCTGTATTTGAAACAATGTTGCGGTCCTGCTGGCTGAAGCCTGGCTGACTAAAGCAGGTTTCTGGGGTTTGGTTTAGCTTCTATATTTGCTACAATGTTTCTTAGAGTTGCAGCTCAGAGGCTGGCAAGGCAGGCGGGGAACCTGGCTTCCTCCGTCACTGAAGCAAGCAAACCTCCCTGTTCACATCAGCTACCTGGCTGCTGGCCGCCATCTTGGCTGGCAGTTAATTTGCATATCTCCCTGATTAGCCAATGGGAAGCGTAGCAGAGGTACGGCTAATTACCATGTTTCTTTTTTATTAGATAGGATATTACTCAATTTTGGTAAAATCTTTAAAAATCACCTTTAGTATGTACACCTACAAATCATTATTTCAATGAGTAACCTATAAGTAAATTTAAAGATCTTTGGGGAGATAACATTTTCATCATAAAATATCCATTCCTCAGACTTGTGCCCCACTATCCCCTTTAGCCCACATAAAAACTATAACTTGCTGAATTTAGCAGACTCTGGGCTGTAGTTATCAGTTGAAAATTAAACTTGCAAGAGTGCAGAGAAATTGTGACTAAATACAGTGGTTTTCTCTAGCAGGTAGAGGTGGAGTCCATGTAACAGTGTTAATGGGATTCACACTAATGCATTAGTTAAAGGGAAATAGCTACTATACTCCAGGCTAAAATACCAATTCTAATGAATCCTATCTGGAGAGACTGTTTGTGGACATAACTAAGTTACAGAGGGTGTCAATATGACAACAACAGCAGCAAAACCCCCATTTCCTTGGCCAATCTAGCTAAAAGACAAATTAGAGCTGGCTTCTTAAGAGCATAACACAGACACAAATTTTGTTCTTTTGATACCAAATTAAGGTGCTGGTGCTGCTTTTGTGTTTTCTGGAAGGGAAATGCCAGCTGTGCCATCACTGCGAGGATTTTAACAAAAGACAAGTTAAGAAATCGAATGAATGAACACAGTGTAAAATGGAGTTGTTCTGACAGCACATTGGAGTGAGGCATAAATAGCTTCTGCTGGTCTTCTTAACCGGCTTAATCCTTTTATTCACTAATGGTAATTTCACGGCATTCTGAAAGTGTGTACACGCGAATTACAGTGCGCTTACCCAACCATTACACATTGGGCCTGTGATATTTCTTTTTCTCTTATGTTTGTAGCACAGGGTTTTTAAAAAGACCTGCAATGACTTCAGCCAAGAGCAAATATTAATCTATGACCTTTTACTGTTTTTATTTTATATACCCTAGAGAAAAAGGTAGGATTCCAGTATGCTCACAAAGCCAAATATGCATGATTGTGTTAACTCACTGCCGACAGCTCTGAGGCCTGAGACAGGAGGCAGAGCAACCTCTGACGTTTTCATTATGCATTTGTCTGGCAGTTAGGAGGGAAGAAATAATTCATGTCATTACTACTATCCTGTCTTGGCCATTAAAATGTATTTCTCTAATAAAAAAAAATATTACCATATTTTAGAAGACAGTCTGACATGCCCTCATGCTTCTCCCTATCTCATATCCTGGCATTATTGTTTCTTATTTTAACAGTCACTTGAGTGAACCAAGTAGCACCATCACATCCCAGTTAAAAGATCATCAATTACAGTGAAACAAAACTTTCACTTCATCTCAGCCACTGTTTCCAAGGCTGTACTCTGAGCCTTATCACCACCTGCAACTGCTAATGTCAGAAATCATAGCATGGCCTGGACAGCGTTGCTAAGTGGTTAGAGCGCCCGCTTGCCCACTGAAGGATCTCGGGTTCAAGGGCACAAACCTGAATTGCAGGTTTGATCCCCGGCCCTGTTCAGGGCAGATGCAGGAGGGAACCAATCAATGTGTCTCTCTCACATCGATGTCTCTCTCTCTCTCTCTCTCTCTCTCTCAAAATCAATGGAAAAAATATTCTCTAGGAAGGATTAACAAACAAACAAACAAAATAAATCATAGCATGTTGCTCCTGACGTCCTGTTATATGATTTTTTTCTGGCCTATCAATGATCTCCTCCTCCTCCCCATTCATATTGTTCTTTGCATAGACTGGGCTGTGGGTTCACCTGCATCAGTGGAGAAATAGAGCCCCCACTAGGTATTTCAAACATATAGAATTTAATATTGGGAACTGGTTACCAAAGGGTTGGAAAGGAAAGGCTAGAAGAGAAAAAAAAGTGCAGTTAGAGATTAATAGCTACTGGAAGCCATTCTCGTTCTCATGGATGAAGGAGCCAGACCATGCCCCACTGAGGCTGCTGAGAACTTGCTGCTGCCATTGGAATGGTGCTGCCAAGGAGGACAGCAGCCTGCAGATGGCACCCCCCCTGCAGCTGCCCCTGCCC